CGAAATGACTCCCAGGCACATAGAAAACAAGCAGCAGCAGTCAAAGGAAATCTTCCTTATCTGTTCTTTCCTTTAAATCAAATACAGAGATTGGCAGAATGAATTTAAAAGCAGGATTCAACCATGCACTCCTATAAGAGACTCTCGTTAGTTCCATAGACACAAACAGGTTGAAAGAGAAAGGAAGGGAAGATGTTCTCTGCAAACAGTCTCCGAAGGAGAGCAGGATGGCTATCCCAACATGACACCGGATAGACTTTAAATCGAGAGACATGTGCCCTCCAAGAGACAAAGGACATTATAGATTAACACAATGTTCAGTATAGCAAAAATACAGTAATTATAAGCATTTGCCCACCTAACAACAGACCCTCAAAATATGAAGGAAAATTCGACAGAATCAAAGGGAGAAATAGACAGTTTTACAATAATAGTTGGAGATTACAAAACCCAACTCAATAATAGATGGAACAGAATATAAGTAAGGAAAAGGAGGACTTTAAAACATAAACCAGTGAAACCTAATAGACACATCCAGAACTCCCATCCCACAGCAAAACCCAAGTGTGCGCAGGACATGCTCCAGGATAGACCATATGTTAACCACAAATTAGGCCTCAGTAGATAAAAAAAGGATAGATACCTGTGATGATTGACACTTGAGTGTCAACTTGATTGGACTGAAGGATGCCGGGTGTTGATGCTGGGTGTGTCTGTGAGGGTGTTACCAAAGGAGATTAGCATTTGAGTCAGTGGACTGGGGAACGCAGTCTCAACCTTAATCTGTTGGGCACAATCTCATCAAGTACCAGCAAATGTAAGGCAGGCAGGCAGGCAGAGAAACGTGGAAAGTCGAGACTGGCCTCCCAGCCTACATCTTTCTCCATGCTGGATGCTTCCTGCCCTCGAACATTAGACTCCAAATTCTTCAGTTTTGGGACTTGGACTGGCTCTCCTTTCTCCTCAGCTTACAGATGGCCTATTGTGGGACCTTGTGATTGTGTAAGTTAATATGTAATAAACTCCCCTTTATATATATCTATGTCCTGTTAGTTCTGTCCCTGTAAGAGAACCCTGACGAATACAATATCATACAAAAGAATCTCTCTGACCATCACAGTATGAGGTTAGAAATCAGTACCAGAAGGAAAATTGAAAAATTTACAAAATTATGGAAATTAAGTAAGACTGTCTTAAACAACCAGTTGGTCAAAGAAGAAATCACAAGGGGAATGAGAACATACTTAGAGATGCATGAAAATGAAAAAATATACCAAAATTTAGGGAATGCAGTAAAAGCAACACTCAGAGGGAAACTGATAGCTATCAATGCCTATGTTAAAAAGAAGAGTGCAGAGACTTGGAACCAACCCAAATGCCCATCAATGATAGACCGGATAAAGAAAATGTGGCACATGGCTGGCATGGTGGCTCATGCCTGTAATCCCAGCACTTTGGGAGGCTGAGGTGGGCGGATCATGAGGTCAGATCATCAAGACCATCCTGGCTAACATGGTGAAACCCCGTCTCTAGTAAAAATACAAAAAAAACCGGACATGGTGGTGGGTGCCTGTAGTCCCAGCTACTAGGGAAGCTGAGGCAGGAGAATGGCGTGAACCCAGAAGGCAGAGCTTGCAGTGAGCTGAGATCGCACCACTGCACTCCAGCCTGGGCAACAGAGCGAGACTCTTGTCTCAAAAAAAAAAAAAAAGAAAGAAAATGTGGCACATAGACACCATGGAATACTATGCAGCCATAAAAAAGGATGAGTTCATGTCCTTTACAGGAACATGGATGAAGCTGGAAGCTATCAATTCTCAGCAAACTAACACAGGAACAGAAAACCAAACACCGCATGTTCTCACTCATAAGTGGGAGTTGAACAATGAGAACACTTGGACACAGGGAGGGAAACATCACATAGCAGGGCCTGTCGGGGGTGGGAAGCAAGGGGAGAGAGAGCATCAGGACAAATACCTAATGCATATGGGGCTTAAAACCTAGATGATGGATTGATGGGTACAGCAAACCACCATGGCACATGTATACCTATGTAACAAACCTACACATTCTGCACATGTATCCCAGAACGTAAAGTAAAATAAAAATAAAAATTTAAAGAAAAAAAAAAGAAGAATGAATGAACTCAAATTAGTAACCTAACTTACATCTTAAGGAACTAGAAAAAGAAGAGCAAACTAAACCCAAAGCTAGCAGAAGCAAGGAAATAATTAGCAGAAGCAAGAAAATAATAGAGAAGAGATAGAGAAAATACAAGCCAGGTGTGGATCATACCTGTAATTCCAGCACTTTGGGAGGCCAAGGTGGGAGGATTGCTTGAGCCCAGGAGTTTGAGACAAGCCTAGCCAACATGGTGAAACAGGGCGTGGTGACATATGCCTATAGTCCCAGCTGCTTGGGAGACTGAGGTGGGAGGACCACTTGAGCCTGGGAGATCGAGGCTGTATTGCACCACTGCGCTGCAGCCTGGGTGGCAGAGAGAGACCCTATCTCAAAAAAAGAAAAAAAAATTAGAGGAAATCAATAAAACCGAAAGTTGAATTAAAAAAAAAAATCAACACAATTGGTAAACCTTTGCGTAGACTGACAAAGAACAAAAAAGAGAAGACACAAATAAAAACTAGAAGTGAAACCAGATGTGAAAATGGCCTTATAGAAATAAAAAGAATTATTAGAGAATATTGTCAACAATTGTATTCCAACAAATTAGATAACATAGGAGAAATGAACGAATTCCTTAAAACACATTAATCTAGCTGGGCGCAGTGGCTCACACCTGTAATCCCAGCACTTTGGGAGGCCAAGGTGGGTGAATCACCTGAGGTCGGAAGTTTGAGAGCAGCCTGACAAACATAGAGAAACCCTGTCTCTACTAAAAATACAAAAAATTAGCCAGGTGTGGTGGTGCATGCCTGTAATCCCAGCTACTTGGGAGGCTGAAGCAGGAGAAATGCTTGAACCCGGGAGGTGGAGGTTGCGGTGAGCCGAGATCGCACCCATTGCACTCCAGCCTGGGCAACAAGAGTGAAACTCCATCTCAAAAACAAAAAAACACACACACAGACAGACACACACACAGCTAACCTCATACTCAGTTGTGAAAGACTGAAAGCTTTTCCCCTAAGGTCAGGAACAAGGCATGGATATCTGCTCCTACCACTACTATTCAACAGCATAATGGAAGTTGTACTAGTGCTATAGACGAGATAAAACACCCAAATGGAAGGGAAGTGGTAAAATGATCTCTATTTGAAGATGACATAATCCTACATGTAGAAAATCCAAAAGAACCTACAAGAAGGTACAATAGCTCATAAATTCAGCAAAGTTCCAAGATCAACACATCAAGATCAGCACTCAAAGTTCACTTGTTTCTGTGCATCTGCATTGAACAATTCAAACAGGAAATTAATGCCATTTACAACAACATCTGAAAGAACTAAATACTCAGGAATAAATCTAACCAAGGAGGTGAAAGACTCGTATGCTGAAAAATGGAAAAGATTGCTAAAAGAAATGAAAGAACACCTAAATAAATGGAAAGACATCCCATATTCGTGGATAGGAAGACTTAACATTGTTAAGACGTCAGTACTACCCAAAGTCATCTACAGATTCAACACAATGCCTATCAAAATTCCAGCAGCCCTCTCCGAAGAAATAAAAGTAGATTCTCAAATCTATATGGAATTGCAGGAGACTCCCAACAGCTTAAATATGAGGAAGTTAAGGTCTTTTAAACAACAGGAATATTTAAGATCATGCCTAAGTCTTCTCAGGGAATCTTCTGGAGAGGGAACTTTACAGAGATGCTTTGGATCCTCATGACGTTGGTGCTTGGTGTGGTCTGGGAGGACCTAAGTGTTCTCAGGGAATCTTCTGGAGATGGAACTTTCCTGAGATGCCTTGGATCCTTACGATGTTGGTGCTTGGTGTGGTCCAGGAGGTCCTAAGTGTTTTCAGGGTATCTTCTGGAGATGGAACTTTCCAGAGATGCCTTGGATCTTTACAACGTTGGTGCTCGGTGTGGTCCAGGAGGGCGTAAGTGTTCT